CTCGAGAACCCCAGACCCGAAAACGCGACGCATCGCCAACCTCTCCTGTCCAACGCAGCGTCGGGGAAGTCTCCGGCAAGGAGACACGGGGCCAGAGGTTGAGCTGATGCGCAGCGTACCGGACCGCAAACGGCCACAGAAAGTGGGGGGCAGCCGCATGGATCAAGGAGGTACGAGCGACCTCCATGACCAAGCCAATGCGGCGCTCAGCAACCCCATTCTGCTGTGGAGAGGCCGGAAGCGTGAACGACTGGCGGATGCCGTGCTCCGCACAGTAGGCTGCCAAGAGGTCGGAGGAGAACTCATCACCTCTGTCAGAGTGCAAACGCAGGACAGGAAAGTCCGACTGGAAACGCTCACTGAGCTGGAGACGAGAAGCGCGGATCCAAGGGATCAAGACATCAGGGACCTCACCCTTGGTGCGCAAGGGGAAGACCGTGGTGTAGCGCGAGTAGTCGTCAACAACGATCAGGAAGTACCTCTCCTGACCCTGTCCACGGACGCGGGCTGGGCCCCACACGTCCATGTGGAGCGTCTGCAAGGGAGCAGTCGTCGGGGGAAACGAGGAGGAGTGAGGAGCGGCGCGCTGCCGCCCCTCGACACAGGGAAGACAGGGAGGAGCAGGCGAGGGTGGGAGGGGAGGGAGAACCCTGGGAAGACCAGAGACAAGGTACCGTTTGTGCATGGCACGAAGGCGCTGCACTGACGGGTGACCAAGGCGGTGGTGCCAGAGGACGGTCTCGTGTGCTAGAGAGCGACACGAGCAGGGGGCAGACAGCTGACCTGAAGTAGACGCAGATGCAGCTACCTGAGGGGACTCAGTGGTCAGTGTGTACAGGTCCGACCCCGGCTGCCGAGTGAAGGTAGCCAGGTGACGGCCCGTCCGAGCACACGTGCAGTGTGTCACGCGCTCGTAGGCAGGAGTGAACTGGTGGACACCCCCGTCCTGGAGCGCACAACCCGCCACCAAGTTCGTAGAGAACGAGGGGAGGTGGAGACCTGACAGTGTGCCCGACGGAACCGCAGGACAAGGAAGAACAGTGGAGGAGGTCGCAATGACCGGACCCCCAGAGGGGTCAGCGAGGGAGACAGCAACTGGCCGAGTAAGCTGCTCAAGGGCAGTGCGGTCACGAAAGAAACAGCGAGAAGCACCTGAGTCCAGTGTGAAGGTGTGCAGTGCCTCAGTAGACTCAGTACCAGGGGGCGCAGACTCACGAGCACCTAGAGCAGCAGCCTCACCAGTACCCGGGGCAGGAGACACGGGAGTACCTGGAGCGGCAGCCTCACCAGCACCTAGGGCAACAGACGCACTAGCACCTAGAGCGGTAGCCTCACTGGTCCGAATGCCCGGGTCGGGCGGAACACGCAGGTACTGAGCACCCTCTCCACTAGTAGACAACACATACATGGCAGTGAGAATAGCATCAAAGTCTAGAGCATAGATATCAATGTTTTTCTTCATCAGATCAGCCCAGCGGGGCAGCTCAGTGGCATCAGGGAACTGAGTACGCCAAGCGTCGTCGAGGCGGGAGAAGCAGCGCTGCGTGGTGTGCGCCCTCCCACACGTCTGACCAGTGCGGTCACCAGTGCGGATGACGTACGTGCAGCTAAGGCCACCCCCCCCCCGTGCTGAGAGTACCACTCACGGAGCTCCTGGGGCGACGGAGTGTGCTGCTGGCTCTGGCCACTGCCAGCGCCTCCACGACCACCACCGCCGCCGCCACCCCCTCGACCACCCCCTCCCCTGCCGCCGCCGCGTCCACCGCCGCCCCCACCACCGCCCCCGCCCCTGCCACCTCCCCCGCCGCTGCCGCCACCACCCCCACCGCTGCCACTAGTCCCTCCAGCCCCACCACCACCCCCACCGCCGCCACCGCCCCCACCACCGCCTCCCCCGCCGTCACCTCCGCCTCCCTTGCCCCCTTTGCCCTTGCCGCTGCGGCGCCAGCTCGAAGCGGATGCAGTCCCGACCTTCTCAGCACCAAGGAGGTCGACAGCAGAAGCAGAGGCTACAGAGGGAAGAAGGGGGGAAGGGGAACACCCCTCAAAGAAAGGGGTGCGGGGGTCGCCACGAGAGGCACCTACAGCGACTATGCTAGCCTCAGCTGCAAGTAGTTCCTTCTCGAGGAGGGCAATGGTGAGTTCAGTGGGGCAGCGAGCTAGGAAGTGATCCCTGACTGCACGCAGAGTGTCAGGGAGGCGGGTGACTAGGTGGTAGAGAGTGAGCCAGAGCGGGGGGGGGTTCGTGGCAAGAAACTCATCAGGCATAGCGGCACGGAAGCGGGCCTCACTAGTACGGAGGTGCGTGATGAGGTCAGCGACTGTGTGGAAAGAGGACAGGTCGGGGAACAGGTAGGGGAGTGAGAGACGGCCTAGCGCGGCAGAGGCAGGTGAGGAGTAGCGGGCAACGACAGCAGTGTACAGTGCCTGTGCAGTCTTGTGCTGGCCAAAATGCTCGCGCTCATCTATCGGCAGGAAGTTGCGAATAGCAAAGCGAGCGTGGGCGTCACGAGTCTGCCACTGTGAGCAGGTAGTGCTGTCAGCAGTAGTAGCAGGGGCAGTGGCATGGCCTAGGGCGTGATCGTACAGTGAGATGTCCTCCTTGGCAGTGAGCTGTAGGAAGAGGTGCAGGTCATCTAGCCAGGTGTCAAACTTCACTGGGCGGCCCTCAGCATCGAAAGCTAGCACAGGAGGGCTAGCCATAGTAGCAGTAGGAGCAGCAGTATAGTAGCAGGAGCAGTAGCAGTAGTAGCAGCAGGCGAACCCTAAAAGCAGCAGGCAGCGCGACTCAGGTAGGGCGGCTCGGTCCAGAGAGTGCTGCTCAGTACGGGGAGGGCGACGCGGCTCGGTTCGGGCGGCGCGGCTCGGCTCGGGCTGGGCGGCTCGGTTCGGGCGGCTCGGTTCGGGCGGCCTGGTTCTGGCGAGGCCGTGGCTGTCGCGTGCGGGGCGCTAAGGGGCGGCGCGTGGGGTCGACAGGGCCGACGGGGCCGCTAAGGGGGGGGGGGGGGGGGGGGGGGGGGGGGGGGGGGCTCGCACGGGGTCGACGGGGCCAACGGGGCCGCTAGGTGGGGCGCGCGCGGGGTCGACGGGGCCGACGGGGCCTCTAAGGGGCTGCTCTCGGGGTCGACGGGGCCGTGAGGTGGGCCGCTAAGGGGCGGCGCGTGGGGTCGACGGGGCCGACGGGGCCGCTAGGTGGGGCGCGCGCGGGGTCGACTGGGCCGACGGGGCCTCTAAGGGGCTGCGCGCGGGGTCGACGGGGCCGACGGGGCCTCTAAGGGGCTGCGCGCAGGGTCGACGCGGCCGTGAGAGGGGCCTCTAAGGGGCGGCGCGCGGGTCGCTAAGGGGCGGGTCGCGGGTCGCGGGGCCTTACGGGGCCGTGAAAGAGGGGCGCACGAGGGCGCTGGGGGGGAGGCGCTCGAGGGCGCTCCGACAGTAGGGCGCACGAGGGCGCTAGTAGGCAGACAGTCGTACGGTGTGGTGGGCCCTAAGGAGCGATCCTAGGTCTAAACCTACGCTCTTAATACCATGTTAGAAAGAAGAAGTCGTTGAACTAGAAAGGAAAGGGAGTACAAGTACCTAACCCTAGAATTGTGTACCCCCTAAAGGCTAACCCACTGTAGCCTACACAAATACAACATATATAATGTTTGACACTTCCACCCTCCACTTCCTCCCTCCCTCCTTTCCCTGGTTCTCGTCCCTCCAGCGACTGGCAAGCGGAGGTGGAGAAATGTATCCCCATGGAGCTCCAGCACATGAGGCAGAAGCGAGAGTGGGACATGGATGTCCTCACTCGCTATATGACGCTGGTAAGCTAAGTGCCTTAAAATAGGAACTAGTATGCCCCACTGAGCACTCATGAGGTTGAATGAGAATGGGAATGAGACATGAACTCTATATCTAAAGCTTTTGGTGTACCTTACGTTGTTGACTCGTTACAAAGCTCTCGCAATGCTCGCCTTTTGTAAACCATGTTATTACTGCACAATGTGCACATGATCTGAACGCAGCATTTTGCATGTTACCTGTTTTCTCGCTCACATTTTTGCCCTATTGCTCCGTCCTCACGTTTTCATTTCCACTGGGGCAGGACTTGTTTCAGGGCCCTGAAAAAAGAAGACACAATATGGGGACACATCTTGTTAAGCTTTTCTCGTGGCATATCACACTCACTCTATCTGTCTTTTCGCCCCATTCCCCCACTCCTTTCCTGTGTTGCATTCGCGTGTGACGCCTGAAGATGCGAAGCAGCAATACCTGAAGATAATCCGATTCCTTCCCTTCGGCGGGTCTGCCTTCTACCACGTGAGGTGTATCCATGACCCGATTGGATTGCTGCCAGAGCGAGTGATGATCGGCATCAACAGGCGCGGGGTAAGTTGCCCCACTCTACCTCGATGTGGTTCCTGTTTCTGGGTGAAATAGACCCCTCTTTGTTTGATTGTTTAACATGTGTGAGGCCCTCTTTAGACCTCATAGGGTTGTTGCCTGGTGGCTTCAACAATAAGGGATAACAGGTTTCGTCACTACGTCTCACTTGAGTATACTCAAGCTTTGAACTGTATCATACAGACTCGAATCATCTTCGGCCGTATGACCACCTTTAGGTAAGTCCCAGGGTCAGGAAGCACGTGTCTTCATGACATTGCTGCCCCCTCCATACACGCACTCCTGTCTTCATGGCATTGCTGCTCCCTTCACACAGACACACACTCCTGTCTTCATGGCATTGCTGCTCCCTTCACACACACACACTCCTGTCTTCATGGCATTGCTGCTCCCTTCACACACACACACACACTCCTGTCTTCAAGGCATTGCTGTCCCCCCCCCCCTCCCCCACACTCCTGTCTTCAAGGCATTGCTGCCCCCCCCCCTCCCCCACACTCCTGTCTTCATAACCTTGCTGCCCCCTCCACCCACACACCCCGCCTTCACAGCTGCACTACTTCCAGCCTGCCCCAAAGGAGTACCTCTATTCTACATATCTTCCCGAAATCATGGAGTATGGCTACAGCCGCGACGCCGTGGGATTCAAGATACACGTGGGGGACTCGCTGAAATTCTTCCAGTTCCAGACCTCCCACGGCAGGGAGATCCACCATGCCATGCAGACGCACTTCAACGACGACAAAGCTCACCGCGACGCCAGGCGAAGGGAGTGCCAGCACAACGCGCCGATGCTGGGGGATGGGGGTGGGGCGGCTGGGGATGGGGGTTTGGAGGGGGGAGGAGGAGGAGGGGGGGTGTTGGGGGAGGGGCAGGGGCAGGGGCCGCATTCGATAACAGAGTACGAGGATCGGACAAAGGAAGAGTTGTTAGAGAGCTTGACAAGGGCCTTGATGCACAGTGAACAGGTAGAGAGACTTGTCTGTCTGCCTTGTTGTGCATCTTCCAGCGTTTTCCCCTAGCAGCTGCCTCTCTCCATGCATATTTGCCAGCAGCTCTTACCGTAGCCGTGCGTTTCTGTTTTCCCCTTTATCGAGCCAGGAGAAATGTTTGTTTTGCCTTTATGTACGCTCTCATATTCTCCTCTCATGTGTGTTGTGATACTCCGGTCTCTTCTTGCGGTGCTAGTTGCCGTTATTTTCTTTCTTTCTTTTTGTTTTTTTTCGGCAGGATAGAGGTCAATCGCATTTCATTGGGTGCTCGTCTTACCCTTTTTGCCTCCCGTTTTTCTTGGTTTACCTGTTCCCGCCATCCCCCTTCACCCACCAGTTGAACCAAGAAGTGGCAGCGCGGGTGGCAGCAGAGGCGAAGCTTCAGGGTGAGCTGCAGACAGGGAAGGCTTTTGAGTTGTCTCAAAGGTCTTCTCTTTTTCCCTGTGTGCTAGTACGCCCGTTCACGCCGTCCCCCTTCACCCACCAGTTGAACCAAGAAGTGGCAGCGCGGGCAGCAGCAGAGGCGAAGCTGCAGAGCGAGCTGCAGGCGGTGAAGGAGGCGCTGAGGCAGAGCGAGGTGGCGCGCGAGGAGGTGGTGGAGGAGCGGGCCAGGCTAGCCTAGATGCTACGGGTGAGAGGGACAGGGAAATGGCGGAGCCGTATGGGGCTTTTTGGGCAGCTTAGGGAGCATTTCCAGGTGGTAGAGGGTGGCGCTTGGGCATGGGAGGGATGGCTGGCGCCAGGACACGAGATCTTGAGTCGCAGGTGAGTCTAATCAACTTCAAAGTTGGTTGGCATGTGTTACGGGAGCAACATTGCCTTGGTAGCACGTGCAGCAACATGAGTCTGCTGAATGGGTCAAGGGCAGTATTGGAGTCGCAGGTGAGTGCGAGGTCGGAATAGGGACAAGAACAATGGGCGAGCAAACAAGCAGCAAGCGAGCAAACGAGCAGTCACAGATATGCAGCGCCGCAAAGCCCATCCGTTCTCATGTGCGTTTTGGTTGCCCGGGCTCCCTTGCTTCTCGCTGACTCAAACTATGTTATCTAGTTGAAGGAAGTGCAGTTGGAGTAGAAGGCGGTGCGGATTGGAAAAGCAGAGAAGCAGGCAAAGTTTCAAAGTCACACACTTTTTGTTCCTGCTGTCTCACTCAACCCCCACACACACACATGCCCCATGCAAACACGCGCACTCGTCCCCATTTCGTCCCATTCGTCCCCATTTCGTCCCCATTCGTCCCCATTTCGTCCCCATTTCGTCCCTTTTCGTCCCCATGGACTCGCATTGCATATGCCGCAGTCGAGTCACGAGACGGAGTTGGTGGTGGCGAACGATCCCACCACCCCTGGCACAACTATACCTGGTGTTGGTGAGGGAAACGTGCCCATAACACCTCATACTCCGATGAAGATTCGTCCTGAGGTTTGCATGTTCCACCTCTTTGCTTCTCGCTCGCACACTCTTCCCCCACCTTCCCGCTTCTTCCTGCCCATCCCTTCCTCTTTTTTCCAAGCCTGCTTGCGCTGGATTGCTTTTGGTGCAAGAAGTTTTATCAAACGGCCGTCCATTACCTAAGTCAGGGTGAATGGTTCGCAGTGGGTACAGCGCAACCCCCCCTGTCATTCGCCGGACCCAGTAATCCGTTCTATCCACTCTTTTGTCGTCCCTCCTCTTCACTGGTCTTACCTTCCCTGCATGACACCAGGGGGTGGTGGTGGCGCGGGACCCGCACGTCGTGATTGACGACTTGGCTTTGGTGGATGCTGCGCTGCGTGAATGGTAAGATGCGGAGATGGTGTGGCGCATGGTTGGGGGGATGAGCAACCGAATGGGAAGGACGTATACTTTTGTCGAGTGGTGAACGCCTGCTGCATGGTGCTACCCACGCCATGGCATGACTAAGCGTTTGTCTGATCATGTATTCTGTTTTTTGTCTCTGTTTTCTTCTTGTTCACCATGCCATTAACCTGCAGAGGATGGGAAGCTAAGGCGCACGCGGTAGGCAGCTATAGTAGTATTGACTGTGGCAGGAAAGGGGAGGAGGGAGGGAGGGGATTTCGATCAATGCGCACATAGGATTCAGATTTACCGTACTCAGAGCCAATGTTCACTCATCTGATGACTGGTTTTGGTATTGTGTACAGGACAGAGTAGCTGGTATGTTTTCTGTTTTGATGCAATCTCCTCTATTCCCTTGTTCATTGAACGGAAGGATCGTTGTTACAGTTCAAGTTTTACTATAGCATTGTAAGAAAGTGCATCCTCTATTTTTCATGTAATGGATCAGGTTTGTGGAAGATAGTGCAAACATGCTGAGGTGCACTTCTCGTGGTCCAACCACAATGCTCACATAAGCACTCTGCAGTGGTCTGCCCCAGGAGCTTTGGAAAAACCATGTATCGAGAGAGAGCGAGGAAGTGCTGATCTTCTCCTGATTTAGAGCAGATTGAAACATTTGGAGGAGCGCATGGGATGGAAGCAGGCCACCCGCTATCATTTTTACTAGGAGGCAACCACCTATTTGAGGCAAAAACAACAAAAACACTCATGGCTGAGAGTCAGACTGCCGACCGCACCCATAAAAATGCAATCTGGGGTAGTCAAAGTCAGGGAGAATCAAGTAGGGCTATTCAGGGGCTTGCATACAAGAGGGGCGGTGGCGAGCGGCACGGGTGTAGGCGTGGGCTGCGTGGATGATAGGGCCAGGGGGGAAGAGGCGGAGGAGGGCATGAGGGGGCGTATGAGAGGGGCGAGGGAGCAGAGGAGGACGGTAGCAGTGACTTGTGCTGCACACGATGCTGCCATCAGGGCAGCATCTGTGGAGGGTGGAGGAGCGGTTAAGGTGGAGAAGGTAAGGTTGGGGGAGGAAGGGCTGTTGGTGAAAGCACGAAAGAGAGCGACAGAGAGGTCGCACAGAAGGGAGAAACTGGCGGGGCGGATGCCGTGACTCAAATCACACCTGGTGGCATGGGGTGTGAAAGAGGAGCGCGCAAGCACATAGTGCACAGGCATTGGCAGAACACATGTAGCGGCGACACAGTTGCATGGGCCACGGAAGCAGATCGGAGAGCAGCATGGGCGTGTGAAATGGCAGGCAGGGAACGACGAGGCTCACGTGCGAAAAGAAAACGGAGGGTTTACAGGGGAAGGAGGAGAGTGGCGAGGATCTGAAACAATGCAATGATTGGCTTGTGGTGACACTATGGCTGGAAGAGAGGCGAGGGAGGTGGAAGCGAGGAGGGAGGCCCCAACGTGGTTCAACTGCACAACTAAAGGGGTTGGGAGTTTTCTAGGGAAGTTAGCTGAAGGGCAGGATAGTGAAGGGGGCGCTGTAGAGCGCTTGGGGCGAAGCATTGGCGAATCAATTGGAGAGTACTACGAAGCGGGGGGAATGGTAGTGAAATGAGGGGATTTAAATGGAGAGAGTCCAATAAGGAGATGGGGGAAAAGGGAGGGGGATTGGGGGTGAAAGAGAGTGTGAAGAGTTTTAAATTAGCAATATTAGCTGGAATATGATCGCAACGGAAGTACACCTGATAGTGGCCCTTGAGAGCAACATAGCGTCACCTGTAGTCAGCCTGGCGTTTAGGTGGAGGCAGCGGCACGACGCTGCTGAAGAAGTTGTTTGAGATGTCACTGTGATGTGGGCGGAGGGCCCGAGGGGGGAGGGGAGGGGATAGAATGCAAGACAAGAACAAGGAAGGAAACAAACAGAAATGACAGGAGAAGTTGCTGATGGTGCTGCTGTGACGGGGGGAAGAGCAGAAAACAGGGGACAGGAGAAAGGCGACGGGAAGCAGAAGGCAGAGGGCAGAGGGCCATAAAAACTTACCACATGACAAGCCATAACACGATAGGGATGCAGGGCAGGGCATGGCATGGCATGGGGGTATTATACGGGCAATGGCACGGCATGACATGGCAGGGCAGGGCATGGTGTGGCATGGCATGGGATGGCATGGCATGTAACAGCATGGAACAGCTTGACATGACTCACACATTGGTTGGTGAGCAGGGAGGGGTGCCAGAGGTCAGCTGGTAGTGGGTCGTAGAGGCAGTTGGAATGCAGATAGCTGGGTTATGGGGTATGGAGGCACAGGGGCATGGGATGGGGGATGGGTTGGGTGGGATGGGAGGGGAAGGGATGGAATGGGATGGGATGGGATGGGATGGGATGGGATGGGATGGGATGCGATGGGATGGGATGGGATGGGATGGGATGGGATGTGATGGGGAAGAGGAATGGACGACAAGGGAGGGTGTGGTAGCAGAACTGATGGAAAGCGAGCGAATCTGGAGAGCGTAACAAGAGATTAAGTCCGCCGACTTCGACGGAACATTGCGTGCAGCTCACGTAACCTTAAACTATGAGCAGGTACGCGTTGGAAAGGTCTTAATCTCTACTTTCCAGAATGGTAACGCACGCCTTCAACCAAGATCTAGGCCGATCGCTTTCGCGATTTAAGTGCGACGGGGTATTCTGGCGGAATCAATAGGCAGCCATGGATTAAATCAAGAAAGTAGCTTTGGGAAGAGTTCAGATCTGAAAAGTGACGAGTTGGTCAAACCCTACCAACCCAACCCTCGCCCTACAACAATCCTCAAGAACCCAAAGTGCTAAACTAGCAACACCAAAGGTGTTGTAGTGAATAGCAAAGGTTTGTTGGTGCTTGTTGGGTGCGAGATCAATTCCAGCCCGCAACAAGTCTAATCACCACATTTTGCCCAAACCCTTAGCCCACAACCAGCTAGAGCAAAATACCACAACCACCTACACAATCAACACTCCCCCTTGCTCGTGCTGGAGGTGGCTGAACACCACTGGGCAAAATCCTTCACTTCACTCCCCCTTGCCCTGGGAGGGGCGCCATCCACAGCATGAGGTCGTCAAGGCAGAGAAGCACCAGTCCTCCCACATCCTGCTCAGGCACCATGCTGACATGGGGCTGCATCCCCATCAAGGACATGCACACACCATGCCGCTCAAAAGGGAGGGGTTTGGTGAGTAAATCTGCTGCTTGACGGTTGGTGGGGCACCACCGGAGGATCACCTCACCACACGCCACCATCTCCCTGATGAAATGCCACCGAACTTGCATGTGCTTGGTGCGGCCATGCAAGCATGCATTCTGTGCAAGGGCAATGGCAGACTGGTTGTCCACAAACACAGGCACACCACCAGCAAACTCATGCCCAAACTCCCCAAACAAACGCTTCAGCCACACACCCTCCTGAATGCACTGACACAGACTGATGTACTCTCTCAGTGGTGGACAATGCAACCACCTGTTGCCTCTTGCTCTGCCAAGAGATGGCTGCACCATTAAGGCAATAGACATAGCCGGTGTGACTCTTGCGATCAGCTGAATCTCCAGCATAATCAGCATCACTAAAGCCCACCAACTCAACCTGAGGCTTGCTGTGTGCGGGGTAGAAGATACCTGACTTGACACAACCTTTCAGGTACCTTAACACTCTCTTCGCAGCCTGCAAGTGAAATGCCTTGGGATAAGACACCACCTTGGACAGCTGTGACACTGCATAAGCAATCTGGGGCTGTGTGGTCGTGCTTGCATACATGAGAGACCCCACAATGCTTTGATAGAGCTGGACCAGCTCATCTCGCAGCAAGGGCTCGTCAGCATGTGCATACACGTCGAACCCTGAAGGGAGAGGGGTACGCACGGGGTTAGCCTCAGAAAGGTCAAATGACTCGAGCATGTTCAGAATGTACCTCTCCTGATTAATCAAGATGCCACTCTCAGCCCTATCACCTGCCCCCATTCCCCCTTCAACTCCTCTACCAGCATCACGCTTGCGAGCCTCATCAGAAACCAACACCTCCCATATCCAGGCCTTGGTCCATTTCTGCTGCTCTAGGTGAAGGTATTGTAGTAGAGCCTCGTTTGCTTCTTGGTCCAGCCCCTGTAGTGCGGTGTAGATAATCTCCTTCTCGTCTACTTCATAGTTCAGCATCTCCAATGTCTTCACATACTCATCCACCCTCTGGAGGTACTGCACCATGGTCTCCCCATCGCCATAGTTGCATTCCATGGTGTAGAACCGCTTCCTCCAGGTGAGTATGCTTAACAACCCTTTTTGCAGATGTCGATCTTGAACTCTCTTCCATGCTAGTGCAGCTGCTCCTTGCTTGCCCTTCAGGTCAATCAGCATTTTTAGGAGCTCTAGTTGGCCTACCAAGGCCCAACACAGGTACTGGAACGCTTGCTTGTCCTTGCGGTCCCATGCTTCCTGTGCCTTAAGAAGCTCCACTGTACTAAGCCGTTGCCTTCCCGTTCGCAGTGCTGCTGGTCCACCTCCACTTCCCTCAGTTATGGATGAGCTAGAGGCTCCCCCAGCCCCTTCTCCCACTTGGCTAGAGACTCCAGTAGATGCCTTTCCTTCATCAGCTTCAGGTCTTCGCTCCGATCCTACCTAGCCAAAGCGTAAACTGGAACCGCCATAGCGAAAAATTCGAGCTGGTGAACCTAGGAGGGCCATCTAATTTCTGGGCCATAACCAACCCTAGATCTGGAGGTTCTTAAGCCAATTCGAAATATAATAATAGGAGAGAATGTCGCAGGCCTAACCTGCTCTGATACCACTGATGGAAAGCGAGCGAATCTGGAGAGCGTAACAAGAGATTAAGTCCGCCGACTTCGACGGAACATTGCGTGCAGCTCACGTAACCTTAAACTATGAGCAGGTACGCGTTGGAAAGGTCTTAATCTCTACTTTCCAGAATGGTAACGCACGCCTTCAACCAAGATCTAGGCCGATCGCTTTCGCGATTTAAGTGCGACGGGGTATTCTGGCGGAATCAATAGGCAGCCATGGATTAAATCAAGAAAGTAGCTTTGGGAAGAGTTCAGATCTGAAAAGTGACGAGTTGGTCAAACCCTACCAACCCAACCCTCGCCCTACAACAATCCCCAACAACCCAAAGTGCTAAACTAGCAACACCAAAGGTGTTGTAGTGAATAGCAAAGGTTTGTTGGTGCTTGTTGGGTGCGAGATCAATTCCAGCCCGCAACAAGTATAATCACCACATTTTGCCCAAACCCTTAGCCCACAACCAGTTAGAGCAAAATACCACAACCACCTACACAATCAACAAGAACTTCCCACCGAAAAAGACAATCGTGCTTTATGTCCCATTCACCCCACTACCTCCCGCTCACCCCACACTCCACTATCTGCACTCCGCACCCCTTGCCTTTCCATGCTCCCCCCTCGTCTGGTGCGGATGGTTTTGGCATGGAGGAGTGATTGGTGGGTGGCTATGGTTGCTGGGTTTTGAATGCTGCTTTCTGTTCTCTAAAGTTTCTATTTAAAAACATGCTACTCAACCCATGCCCTTTTCTTGTATATAGCCTTCTTGTGCAACCCGACTGTAGTCTCGTTTCTCTGTCAGCGCACTGGTTAGGAGGCAGGAACATGGTAGTACCGTCACGCGTTGATGTTAGAGCATACTTACAATGCACAGAGTTCAAGGGAGACTGCATGACATCGTAATACCACTACAAATGAGCTTGAAGTGCAACACAGAATCCACAAACCACTTCATCAGAAGCTGTGCCAGCACGAAGCTGAATAAAAGGAGGGGCAGGCTTGAAAGAACTGTGTATAAAGAACACGTCAGCTGTGTTCAGCATGTTATCAAGCAAGGCAAGCAGATGATGGTTGATGGGGTTGAGCTGCAGCAGCAAGAGGGCATCAGGGCATGTGTGGCCTGGGCAGGGTGAGCCGCGGTGGCAGCAGCAGCATGGCGTGTGGCGGCAGGATAGCATGGCGGCACGATAGCATGGCTGCACGATAGCATGGCTGCACGATAGCATGGCTGCACGATATCATGGCTGCACGATAGCATGGCGGCACGATAGCATGGCGGCACGATAGCATGGGTGCACGATAGCATGGCTGCACGATATCATGGCTGCACGATAGCATGGCTGCACGATAGCATGGCTGCACAATGGAGACGAGTACCTTAAAGAGCACGATGACGGGGGAGGAGGTGCACATGAAAGCAGTGGCGAAGATGAGAGGCGAGGAGAGCAGCAGGGGGCGCTATTGCATAGCTGCCTGAATCAGGGGCAGTTTGGAGGGCAGGAGGGGGAGGTGCTCATTTCACAGAATGGGACCACAAATGGCCGCAAATGAGCGCGTCTGAATTGAAACGAAAGAAATGCAAAACGAATGGGGAGAGGTGGGTAAGTGGGTGATTCTGTGCTCGTTCTCCTCCTTCAAGTGCGGCTCCTCCGCCTCCAGCTCTGCTGTGCTCGCCTGGAAGGCACGGGGAGGAGGGGCGAGGGTGGGGAGGGCAGCACGACATGTGGCTACGAGAGAGAGAGAGAGAGAGAGAGAGAGAGAGAGAGAGAGAGAGAGAGAGAGAGAGAGAGAGAGAGAGAGAGAGAGAGAGAGAGAGCGCACCTCCACCTTATGGCATGTGGCTGAGCGGGAGGGGGAGGGTTCTCGTCCGTCAGCTGTGAACGCCTGGAGGGGGGAGGAGGGGGGGAGGGGACAATACCTCCACCATGTCTCGTGGTGTGGTGCTGTGCGGTGAGGTGAGGTGAGGTGAGGTGAGGTGAGGTGAGGTGAGGTGGGGTGAGGTGAGCTAAGGGGGGGGTGGGAAAGGAAGAGCAGCTTGGCATGTGGTAGCAGAGAGAGCAGCCACATGCCATGCTGCATGTTTCCCACCACAGACACCACTCGCACCTCCCCTCACCCACCTCACCTCACCGCACCCCTCCTGCCCCGAAGCCGAGTAGCTAACTCTCTGTTTCGTTGATCATCCTCTTCTGCCTTACTCCCAAAATCCCAAGATTCTTCACTCACTGTGGCAGATCATTGAAACATGACAATAGGAAAACACTTCCTCACCACACCTCACCGCACCACACCTCACCTGTTTCTTCACCCGGGACCGAGCGGCCGACTCTCTGTTCTGTTCTTGATCGTCCTCTTCTGCCTCCTCTCAATGTCTCAAGAGACTTCACTCAGCGTGGCAGAGCAGCGAAACAAAAAAGTCACAAAAAACGCTTCCTCACCACACCCCACCTCACTGCACCTCATCACACCGCACCCCACCTGCTTCCTCGCCCAGGACCGACGGCCGACTCTCTATTCTTGATCATCCGCTTCTGCCTCCTCTCCACGGGCGCCCCTACCCCCTCCCCACTCCGCTTCCTCCCCCTCCGCCCTGCACTCCCCCCCACGCCCCCGCTCAGAGAGTGTCCCCATCCCCACTCCTCCGGCCTGTATCCGACTGCCCCCTTCCCCCTCTGCCGTCACTGCCCCCCCACCTCTCCCCCCCGCCCCCGCAACCCCATCCGCCGCCACCATGCCCGCCCCCGCACACCCCCCCTCCAGGCCCCCTGCGCCCACACCTGCGCCCACACCTGCGCCCACACCTGCGCCCACACCTGCGCCCACACCTGCGCCCATACCTGCGCCCATAACTGTGCCCACACCATATGTAGTGGGCACCATTCCCCCACCCATCCCCATGCCTCCCCCCACGCCTCCCCCCACGCCTCCGCCCATGCCCCTTCCCACGCCCATCCCCATGGCAAGCCCAGCAGCAGAGGCAGTTGTAGCGCTCCATCATTTGATCCCAGCCACCCACCACCCCGATCATCCTGTCACCGCTTTTGCTTCGCGTGATGGGGAGAAGCGGTGGGGGACAAAGATGGGGGAGAAGCGATGTGGGGAACAATTGGGGGAGCGATGGGGAAGCGATGGGGGGAAACGGTGGGGGGCAGCAATGGGGAGCAGCCAGCATGAAAATGTGTGTCTACTGCACTGAGGGGGGGGACTGAGCACATCACTGGGGGAGCGAGTGAGCACATCACTGGGGGAGCGAGTGAGCACATCACTGGGGGAGCGAGTGAGCACATCACTGGGGGAGCGAGTGAGCACATCACTGGGGGAGCGAGTGAGCACATCACTGGGGAGCACATCACTGGGGGAGCGACTGAGTGCATCACGCCTCCTATGCCACGCGCTGCCTGCAGTAGGAAAGCGCCAGGCCCCAATTCAAGAGCGAGTAAGCATGCCGCCTGTCAATGGTGTTGAGAATTCTCAAAGGCTTCCCGCCTGTCCATGCTGAGTGTGTGGCGGTACTGCCGGCCCGCCTGCACCAGCAGCAGCTGCTGGTAGCACTCATTTGCCCGTCCATCCATCATTGGCGCCACCTCCCTCGCCACCTGCTCCTGCTGCACTCTCAATAACAGCAACCATCGGCAACGCCCGCATTGGCACCCCACTCGCTGCTCCTCCCATTACCCCACCCACCCCTGCACCCCCCTTCATACCACTGCCCTCCCCACAGGCCCCGCCCCTCCCTCGCCCCTCCCCCCGCCCACTCCCCCCAGCAGCCCCGTAAGGGGCGAGTAATAGCAGAGCATCTGCAGTGTGCGCCTCTCCCCTGCTCTCCCTCGATACGCGCCCACATTGTGAGGCGCCTCAGCAGTGCGCCAGCCATGCAATCCCCAGTTGCCCCACGGCCACCACATCCACATGGTCCAGCTGCAACACGCGCCCAAACAGGGCAATGGCACGGCCTACTGAGCATTCTCAGAAGTGGCCTCCGTTGTGGCCTCTGCAGCCCTGCCATGCCATGCCATGCCCATCTCGATGCACGCCTGCAGCCCTGCGCGCAGGCGGCCACACTGATGGACTCTCAGGAGCTGGAGCATGCACATTGCTCACCTGCCTAGCCAACCCTGGCTGGCAGCTCCTGCAATGACTGAGCTGTCTTGTCGCCAAGGATGGAGGAAATCAGCTTCCACAGCGCGCTGAGCCTCCCCTCCCACAGCTTCTAGCCTGATGCCGGCAGACTCTTGACGGCAATGGCAGAAGACTTCCCCGGGATGAGAAGCCTGGTATGGAGTGAGGCGAGGAATGGAAGGCAGAGCAGGCGAAAGGCATAGTGTGAGGTGCGGTAGTGAAGTGAGGCAACCCCAGTGCTTTCCTTAGGATAATTTTCTTTCCCATGCAATGTAGCCATGACCCTGTCTGGTGCTGGTACTGTGAATGGTGGTTTTACACTCTGAATGTTCCTTTCAAATACTCACACTACAAAAACAGCACACTCCGATCTCTTACTCCCATTCATTGGTCATTAGTTCTTTGCACACAACTCCCTTCCCTTCTTGCAACACATACATCACTCAGATCTCTCTTTCTTTTACTACAAAATCTTTCACATAGAAATACATGCAAAAATGCAGCACAACTCCCTGCATGCATTTCCTACCCATTCCTATACAACTTCTATCCCCCTTCACTCCATCCTGAGCTATACTACCCACTCCTCTCCTTTCCCACAGTATCTCCATCTCCCCTCACCCACACCCAATTCATCTACCCCTTCACACCCTCGTGGTTCAGTCGGCGCCATACCCTTTCCCAAAGATAGTAAACGTTCCCGTCCTACCTTGATCTGTAAGCAGAGGACAATTGGAAACACTACACTTCTGCAGCAAAGGCAGATCGCGGATGAAGGGTGGCAGCCGAGCTAGGCGCTCACACCTCTTCAAGTGCAGCCACCTTAGACGAGTCAATTGCTGTAAAGAATCCGGGAGGCTGCGGAGACTCGGAAGATGAGACAAATCAAGACACTGGAGGGAAGATAGATTCCCAAAATTACGCGGAAGGGAAGATACATCTATGCAGTCGTGGAACACAAATTTTCGTAGCTTGGGCAGTTCACACACTGCTTCCGGCAGCGCTTCGAGCCAAGTGGCATGACGGATCAACAAGTCTCTCAAGTTTGACAACTGAGAGATGGAGGCCGGAAGTGCACCCAGTCCACGAATATTCAGCTCCAGCGTTTCCAGCGAAGAGATGCGCGCCAGGGAAGGATCAAGCACTTTAAAAGCAACTTCCATAATCTTCAAGATTTGCAGCGATGGAAGCACTTCCACTTCAATGCTCTCCACATTGCTGCTGCTGCTGCTGCTGCTGCTGCTGCAGTTGCTTCTCCCCCCAACGAAGGGGCCCACAGCGCTCCTTCCGCCCAAGGACATGCAGAAGCGCACATCCAGCTCCCGCAGTCGAGGCAGCTTCAAAAGCGACCGAGGAAGTGATTCCAAACTGCCTAGATTTGAAAGATCGAGCTTCTCCAGCATTTGCAGCTGCCCAATCTCCTCTGGCAAAGACTTCAGCGCCATGCAGCCGCCCACCGCCAGGCTGGTGAGCGAGAGAGCTAATCGAGAGAGTGAGGCAGGGAGGGAAGTCAGAGTCGGGTTGCTGCGTAGAGAGAGAGCCCTAAGGCGTGGAAAGCTGCCGAAGTTCTCTAGAAGGCAGCCTCTCAAGCAGGGAAAACCAGACAAGTCTATAGCTTCGAGTGATGAGAGGCGGAAGAAGGAAGCAGGAAGGGGGGTGTCGCAAACCAAAGTCAGCTGCCGAAGGTGGGGTAGGGCATTCCCCATCCCCTCTGGTAGTGCAGTTAACCCTAAGCAAGCGATGTTCAATGTCCGAAGGGAAGACAGCAGGGTAAAGGACTCGGGAAGATGGCTGAGAAAGTCTAGCCCGTCCAAACTCAGACTCTCCAAAGCACTCAGCTGCCCAAAGTCCTCGGGCAGGGACGAGATACCTTGACGACTTACGGCATTGACGGTTTCTAGCTTGATGCTCTTAAGGTTTGAGAACCGAGTGATGGCGTCTGGCAGATCTAAAAAGCTATCCTGCCCCAAGTCGAGTCTCGTGAGGGTCTCGTGAGAGATGAGTCTAATCTCTGGAAACACCGTATTCGCCTCCATCACCCTGACGACTAGGCACTGCAATGCCGGCAAACTCCCGAAATCCTTAGGCAACGGCAGGAACTCATCGAAATCAACAAGCTGAAGCTCTTTCAGTTGTTGAAGCTTGGAAAGACCACCTGGTAATGGGAATGTCGTGCAGTGGTTGATAGAAAGCTGGTGTAGATTGGAAAGATGCTCAATGGATGTTGGTAGAGAGCGGTTTAGGGCTTGCCCGATCTGGTTGGGCTGAGCAGCGCAGTGCAGGATCTTGGCGAGCAAATCGTCATTCCGGAGGACCAGCTGTGCGGACTCGTTTGACATTGCGACGGATCTAGGGCGACTGACACGCACGAGTGACGACTCCATGAGCTTCTTGTGAAGGCAAGGCAAGACCGACGGGAACTACAAGCTTTTCCGCGAAGCGATCTGTCCTGGCAGACTAAACAGGGGGGAAGGAAGTACTAACCGAGATCCACAGGCTTATGTCACGGAGGCTTGGCGTGGCTGAGTGGCGTGTGCCTGAAGAAATGACACGGAGGGATGGAGGAAGGGGAAGCGCGAGGAGAGAAATGTGGAGCTTGAGAACACCTAAAGGAGAAGTGTGCGACGCGAAAGCGGCAGCAATGTGGATGATGGTGAATTGCAGGTATTGATAGGAACCGGAGCGCCATCGGTGAACTTGAATGAGTAAGGGAGCGCCATCGGTGAACTTGAATGAGTAAGGGAGCGCCATCGGTGAACTTGAATGTGTAAGGGATGCTGGAAGGGAATTCAGCATGGTAGGGGGGTGGACTTCTCTGCCTACTGGGCTGCGATGGGACATCGAGTTGAGATCTGAAATAGGAGGGAGGGGTGTGGCGTGGCTATGTTAGATGGGATGGATGGGAGATTCACTGCTTGAAATGTCACCAACCTCTGGTCCCCCGCGTGGTACTGTAGTATGGATGTAGGTTTGAGTTCCTGCACGTGGCGGCGTATGGTTAGTCAAGTGCGTGGCGAGGGGGGACCACAGCTGTTACGCATCAACGTCCCGTGGATGCTCGTCCTGATCTCGCATGCTGAATGCGAAAACGTTGGCGAAAACAGCTCTGCGTGGTATCTTCAAGAGCGAATCTACTCTGGCGAAATACATCACTCTTTCGATTAGCATACGACATTGCGTTTCTTTCCGTTTCAACTGATACATCCCCGTTTTTGCCGTTCGAAATAAAGCATTTCGCTCATCCCGTCAGATCTAGACGACATTGAAGGTGTGTTTCTGCCACGTCGTTGCAGTGTAAGACGTTTTCGCCAGAAACTGCGTCATGTCTTTCCTTCTGTTCGAGGCACATCCATTCTCGACTCACCTCCCTTATATCCCTCCCGTCCCCCCACTCCCCACCCTCACTTTCCATTACCCTCTCCCGCTCCCCCCATGCCCTCCAGGCCTTTCGTTGGTCAATCGTTCGACCTCTACCGCCTCCCTCTTCCTTCCGCACCCTCCCCCAACCAACCTCCCCCCTCCCACCACCTCGTCCGCCTCCCCCCCCTCCTCTCCAACTCGTCCCCCTCGACCCACGGCCCGGTGGTGTTCCTTCCGCGGATGCACCAGCGGCGCCAGCAGCATGGGGACGCGGTCGGGCTCACTGTGGGGGTGACGGCGCTGCTCTTTGTAACACGTTACAGTGAGCTGCAGCGTCACCTGCACGGTCAGATGTGATGTGTTTAGATGTGTTGCGATGCAGTGTGGTGTGACTGGATAGGATGGAATGAGAATGGGATGGAATGGGAATGGGATGGAATGGGAATGGGATGGAATGGGATGGGATGGGATGGGATGGGATGGGATGGGATGGGATGGGATGGGATGGGATGGGATGGGGTGGGATTGATGTGATTGTACGAGATGCATGCAGAGCAGAAATAGGACCCAGCGCCGTTGGCCGCACCACCACCCACATCCTCGCCCTCCCTCTTCCCTCCTGTCTTCCCTCGCCTCTTTCCTCCTCGCTTCCTCCCCGCTTCCCTCCCCGCTTTCCACCTCACCACTTCCGTTCTCCTCGCGTCCTTCCGTTCTTCCGCTTTGTCTTGGTTTGCTATGCACCACTTCTCTTCAGATCCGCCTTGACATCACATGATGCATCCCTACCATGCTTGCTCTTCTCCCCCTCCACCCATGCCTCAGCAGCTCTTCCTGTGCAGCGTGGGCGTTTCATCAAGGCGTTGCGGGAGTGCAAGGGAGCGTGTAGCAGTGCGGAGGGGCATGGCTGTGGTGCTGCATGAGCGCCGTCACAGGTTCCCTCCCATCTCCTTCATTGACCGCTCGTGCCAACAGGTAGAGTTTGGGTGTGGTTCAGATGGCAAGGAATTTCACATTGGGTTGGTTAATTTCACATGCACGGGGGGGATGGAAATAGACAGGGGGAATTCGTATGGGCGGAGAGGGGCTTATTAAAATGGTTTGCATTGTCGTCATTAACTCACTCCCACAGACTGCCTTTCCTCCTCACTCTCTCCTCCTCATCGCACATTCCCCCGCCTCCCTCTTTTTTTGCACCACCCTCCCCCAAGCGTGCAGGCAGGGACGATGCAACCTGTTTCCATGCCACAGATTTTGGGATCCTCATGCCATGCCATTTAACTCTCTCCGCTCCACTTGTCAGTCCTTTCTTTGCAGCTGCCTTGTATTGCTGTTTCCATGTTCGCTCCTTGTGTGTGTGCCTGCTGGGTCACTCCGTTGCTCCCCCGTCTGTGTCATCGTGTCTCTGCCCCCACCGAAGCAAACGTGCTGGCGGCTCACATCCTTGGGTGCTTCTCATGCCGCCTCTCGCCCGCCCAACCACTTCGCTCGTCACTGCTGCCACTCTGCAGGTTAGATTTGGTAGTATGTACCTAGTGGGAGGGCATTGGCAGACCTTCCTTATTTCATGGCACGTAGTATAGTGTGCAGGAGCTACACTGCAAGTTGAAAGAGATTGATGGGTGCAGACTTTATCAATGGTAACATGTGTTTGTCAAGATCCGAGAAGCAGTAGATCGCACGTAGGCGCATACACCAGACCTGCCATGGCAAGTACTGGTAAATGCCATACGCAGGAGTCTACACATGCGCGGTCGTCATTTGTATCTCAGCATCAAGCCTGCGAATTGCATGCCTGCCATGGGCAGCACAGAGAACCTGACCTCGTGCTCTTCCTCCTATCGCTCGCAGTAGCCCACACAGCACTGCATCAACTTTCTGGCGCTTGATCTGGTTCATATGCTGGATGTGGTCCAGTCGCTTCAGTCGCTTCAGGCGCTTCAGGCGCTTCCTCCATCCGTCACCCTTCTCTACTGCCCCTTCCTCCCCTTTCCCCATCTTGAGAGAAGGGGCCATCGTATGAGCGGGCAGTGCAGCGTATGAGCGGGCGGTGCAGCGTATGAGCGGGCGGTGCAGCGTATGAGCGGGCGGTGCAGCGTATGAGCGGGCGGTGCAGCGTATGAGCGGGCAGTGCAGCGTATGAGCGGGCGGTGCAGCGTATGAGCGGGCGGTGCAGCGTATGAGCGGGCGGTGCAGCGTATGAGCGGGCGGTGCAGCGTATGAGCGGGCGGTGCAGTGTATGAGCGGGCGGTGGCAGCGTAATGAGCGGGCGGTGCAGCGTATGAGCGGGCGGTGCAGCGTATGAGCGGGCGGTGCAGCGTATGAGCGGCGGTGCAGCGTGTGAGCGGGCGGTGCAGCGTGTGAGCGGGCGGTGCAGCGTGTGAGCGGGCGGTGCAGCGTGTGAGCGGGCGGTGCAGCGTGTGAGCGGGCCGTGCAGCGTGTGAGCGGGCGGTGCAGCGTGTGAGCGGGCGGTGCAGCGTGTGAGTGGGCGGTGCAGCGTGTGAGCGGGCGGTGCAGCGTATGAGCGGGCGGTGCGCGTGTGAGCGGGCGGTGCAGCGTGTGAGCAGGCGGTGCAGCGTGTGAGCGGGCGGTGCAGCGTGTGAGCGCGCGGTGCAGCGTATGAAGCGGGCGGGGTGCAGCGTATGAGCGGGCGGTGCAGCGTGTGGAGCGGGCGGTTGCAGGCGTATGAGCGCGCGGTGCAGCGTATGAGCGGGCGGTGCAGCGTATGAGCGGGCGGTGCAGCGTGTGAGCGGGCGGTGCAGCGTGTGAGCGGGCGGTGCAGCGTGTGAGCGGGCGGTGCAGCGTGTGAGCGGGCGGTGCAGCGTGTGAGCGGGCGGTGCAGCGTGTGAGCGGGCGGTGCAGCGTGTGAGCGGGTGGTGCAGCGTGTGAGCGGGCGGTGCAGCGTACGAGCGGGCGGTGCAGCGTACGAGCGGGCGGTGCAGCGTACGAGCGGGCGGAGTCGCTCGCGAAGAGACACGAGAAGGTGCTGTGGGGTGGTTGGGGGGTTGGGCGGGCTGGGGGGTTGGGGGGTTGGGCGGGCTGGGGGGTTGGGGGGTTGGGTGGGGGGTTTGATGGATGATTTCAGGGTTGCGTGGGTGAGGGGATGGGTGCGTGGATGGGTGGGTAGGTGGCTGGGCTAGCAGAAGAGCAATCAACACAGTGCTACTGGCAGCATGCGTGGGTGGTTAAGTCGCGTGGCAAGGAGAAGAGCGTTAGCGAGGAGAATTTGGGTGGCTAAGTTGGGTGCTCGCGTGCCTAAACCCTGGGGGCATCTGGTAGCGCATCGAGACATATCACACAGGGAGTTAAAATATCCTCCTTTGTGGCATATCTGACCACCCCGTTCCATCAATTCTCACCCCTCGCTCCCCCTTCCCCTCTCCGTGTCCCTCTCCTTGTCCCTCTCCTTTTTTTCTCCCTCTCTTCTGCCTCTCCACTTTCCCCGTCGCGTCCCCTCTCCACTCTCCTTATCTCTTATTTTTCTCCCTCTCTCCATCTTCGCCACTTTCCCCGTTCCCTCCCCTCTCCTCCCCCCCCCCCCCCCCCCCCCGCCCCTTTTCCAACTGTGCTCCCTGCAGGAGCGGGAGAAGCAGGCGCGCAAGAAGGCAGCAGCAGCAGGTGTCCCATACGTGGAAGGGGCAGCAGAGGCGCCAGCAGAGGGCGACGCCCCAGACGACACCACCAGAAGAGCCTCTGCAGCCGAGGAGACCAGCAGAAGAGCAGTTGAGTGAACATATATGAGTTCCAGCTAATCTCACCTTCCCCTCTCCGCTCATATATGATACCAGCGCCGCTGCCAACAGCAAGGGCGACGCGGGCAAGGGCGGAGAGGAGGAAGAAGAGGCAGGGCTGGTCGAGGAGGGAGCAGCGTGGGCGGCAGGCACTGGTGGCGCTGAGGAAGAAGAAGAGTGGGTGGATGAGTGGGGGTGCCCTTTGGGGGGTGCCGGGCTGGTTCTTGTTATGCTCGCTATTATCATCGCTTACTTTGTGGTGAGTGTGGTGCGCTGGTTGCGAGTGTGCTGAGTGTGGGTGGTTTGGTGATCTAGTGGGAGTGTGAGTGGCTGGCTTGTCTCGCACGCACACGCATACTGTGCCCTGCACCACACTTGTGCATCATGTGAATATACCTGGCTCCCGTTTCCCCCTTGTCTCCCTCCCACCATCTCTTCATGCCTCTGTCCCAAGCAGCAGAAGGCACTGAACCCGGCACAGCCCCATATTTGAGGCTGAAAGTTAGATGCACTGCAGCCTGGCACACGCCACGGCGGTTGGTGCAGTCCAAGTGCTTATACACAAGCAGCATGTTTGCATGAGTTACTTTCTATACACTACAGGAGGAGCACCGTTGCTGTTAGCTCTAGCAAGACTTGTCTGTGGCAATCCATAATCAGTAGCAGATTGTTGCTTGCACCATTGGCCTTCATTGCAGCTACCAATGCATGGGCACTGAATCACTGATGATGCTGTTCTAGTTCCAGTGTTCTAATAGTACCATTTCTAGGATTTTTATCAACTTTCAACATCTCGTTTCCGCACACCTGGGCACCAGTGAAGCAAACAAGCACACACGTATCAGAGCCTGAATGTTTGTTCCCAATCGGACGACTTTGTCTATGTACAATGCATACAAAGGAAGTTAGCATGTCACCTTTCTGCCGAACCAAGCAACAAAGCACGTCACTGCAAGGCAAGAAGGTTTGCAGAGCGCACAGCATAACTGGCCTACCGTATCATCACTCATCCCATCTCCCGTTCAACTGACTGGACTCCAGCTTGCTTTCAACCCACCCGTCCCCCCCTATCCACCACCGTGGCATTACAAGCAGGGTACCGGTAAGAGCACACGGCCATTGCAGCATGCAGGATGGTATCCATGTGCGTGCTACATAATTCCTGCCCACACTACATCAGCGCAGGAATGAAGAAAAGGGTTTACCGTTTGAGTATCACCTGCCGCAGGCAGTCAAGCTGGTGGAAAAGCCTCTTTGGGTGGTGCTTGTGCAGCAAGGCGTAGCGGCATTTCAGCTTCAGTCTGCGCAGCCGAGACAAGCAGGTCATGCCTTGAGGTAGCGCCAACAGCTGAGGTGCTTCAATCGTAAGTGACGTCAGAGAACGGAGCTCTCCAATGCTTTCTGGCAGCTTTTTTGGTGACGAAGAAAGCAGCTTCAGCTGCCGCAGCTGTGGCATGGCTGCCCCCATGCTTTCCGGGAGGCTACAGACTTCAGGCGCATCTATCAGCAAGCTGCGCAGGCGGGGGAGAAAAGTCAAGGGGATTGGGAGCTCTAGCTTGCCATAATCCAAACGCATCTCCAGCGTCTCCAAATTCTGCACCTGCACCCCCTGCCCCCCCTGCCCCCCCTGCTCCCCCTGCTCCCCCTGCTTCCCCCGCTTCCCCCGCTCCCCCCGCTCCCCCTGCTCCCCCTGCCCCCCCTGCTCCCCCTCCTCCCCCCGCTCCCCCTGCTCCCCCTGCCCCCCCTGCTCCCCCTGCTCCCCCCGCTCCCCCCGCTCCCCCCGCTCCCCCTGCTCCCCCTGCTCCCCCTGCTCCCCCTGCCCCCCCTGCTCCCCCTGCTCCCCCTGCTCCCGGCACGGCAACCGGCTGCTCACTGCAGGCCCGTGTCGCACCCCAACACGGTTCAGCTTCAGCACCCTCAGCTGCCACAGCCCAGAGATGTCCACCACGTGATCACAGCCTTCCACGAACGGTCCCAAGCAGAGGGTCTCAAGATGGGCCGGCCACCGATCAGGGGGGCTTTGCAGCCCCTCACACTCCGTCAGCACCAGCGTCTTCAGCCCCACCAGCATATCCATCCGAGAGGGCACCTGGGAGAGCCACTGGCAGCCCCTCACCTCCAAGATCTGCAGAGCTGTAAGCCTTGTCAGTGAGCTAGGAATCGTGGCGATATAAACATTCACCATCTTCAGCTCGCGGAGGCTGTTGAGTGAGGCCAGGTCTGGAAGCTCGTCGTTACAAAAGCATGATTCCAGCTCAAGGCTGGTCAGGGAAGTTAGCTGGGTGAAGGAATCTGGCAGGGGCTCCTTGTGACAGTGTAACAGCTTGAGAGCCTCAAGATTTGCAAGGGCCCCCACGTCCTCTGGCAGTAAAATATCTCCAGATCTTGCTATGCAGAGCGTCTTGAGAGTCGTCAAGCGACAGAAATCTGCTGGCAGCTTCTCAAGCTGGCGGCAATCATCAATAACGAGTGCCTCGAGACACGTGAGGTGACAGAAGGAAGGAGGGAGGTCACTGGAATGAGAATCAAACAGCACCAGTAATCTGATGGCAGGCAGGTGACCGAAGTCGCTGGGTAAAGTGAAGTAGGTACATGACCAGATAACGAGCTCTTCCAGACGGCTCAGAGAAGTGAAGCTCTCGGGCAGGTGAGTGAAATTATCACACTCGCGAATGGACAATTTGCGAAGGCGTGGCAGCAAGTCTCCGATGTGGTCAGGAAGGGTCTCTAGCTCGCTGCAACTAGTGATCATAAGCTCTTCTAGCCTAGTGAAGGGGGATGCTGACGGGAAGATGGTGCCAAAGTCGGGACAAGAGACCATGAAATTGAGCGATTTCAGGCAGGTTGTCTGAGTCGCTCTTGCAGCACCAAGAAGCTCATGATTTTTGTGAGGTGTGAAAGTGTACAGACGGGTGAGTCTTGGGAGGTGAAGAAGGGTGGAGAGGTGGTGTTGGTTCCAAGGGAAAGTGATGTACAAAGTGGCAAGAGCAGTAAGGTTGGCGAATCCGGGCTTTTTTACGGTTGAACTCTTGGTGAGAAGGAGTGTGTGCAGTTGCCTCAGCTGAAAAAGTGAATCTGGTAGCTCTAGATTCTTGCGGAGGCAGAACAGGGTAACTTTCTCCAATCTCGGAAGCTTTTGAAAGAACCCATCCAAGCCGCCTGTAGTGATCCTATGGTTCTCTATTGCGCGACCATGACTCTCGTGGTAATCACGCTCATCTAGCAATCGCCACCTCCCTCCCACCACGTAAGCACACTCATCGGGCACTTGCCAGCTCCTTCCGACGTGAAGAGCCGTCAGCCTCGGGCATGAAGATGCGAGGTGAGCGAGGAACTCATCGTCGAACGACTCGAAGCTGCTTTCACCTAGATGGAGATCCGTGAGATTTGGAAAGAACGCGACGGCGACTGAGAGATGCTCGAGGACACTACGAGGTCTGATTTAACGGAAAGAGCCGTCACGTGATGCTTCGTCAAACGACGCCAACGTCGGCAGACGGACGCGAGGAGGAGAATCTGAGCAACGTCTGCTAGGGGAGGAGGGGCTGCTACGGGCGTCCTGGCTATCAAATCGCCTTGTAATACATGATCATCGGGGGGTGAATCTGCGGATGTGGGCGTCCACACGCGGCTGTCAATATACGGCGTGCATGGCGCGCCAGGCTGCTTGCAAGAACGCTTGAGGATCTCAAGAAGGAGGCAGTCGGACAGATCACTTATGTCAGTGCTAGCCTCCATACTCGAAATTCTAAAACAACCGCGTAACTTGCGCTAAGAAACGTCGAAGACGTGGCGTGAAGAGGCTGATGACAGTGAGGATGGGAATAAGGAGGGGTCGGGTGAAAGGGTTTGCAGGGGAAGAAGATGCTAGGAGATGGGCGAAAGGGACGACAAGATAAACCAAGGCAATGTAAACTTTCTCAACACTGCACCGCGTTCGACATGTGCTATACAGCGGTGGGAACCGGCGTTCGGCAAAGTTTCGATTTTGGATCATTCAGGATCGCTCCGTTGGATCGTCCCCGGAATCCAGTATCACTCATTGATTGTCGCAGTATCACTGTTTCTGTAGTGTTGAGAGTGTAGGTTTCGGGGTTTTGTTGTTCGTTTCAGTTGACAGAAGGCGACATGTAGTGGAGGGGAGCGCCGCAGCTATGTATGCGAGCTTCGCAAATGTGGTAACCTGCAGCAACCGGGCCGGTCCCCTAAGCATGTGCCACAAAAAAGTTTCACGCCCTAATAACCTGACAAAAAAGGTTTCTCGATCGACTTCCGCCGCTGAGGGAAAGCTGTCTGATCAACTACTGCGTGACAGTAGCTGGACACTGGTGAGAGAAGGTGCTTGGATTTGCCGTCGAGCTTCGCGGAGGAGGAAGGTCCCATGTAGGAAGGTGGACAGAGTTGGTGGGAACTAGGCCGATGGCGGGGGATGCAGTGGCGGTGCAATGAATAGTTGCCGCTGTGCCACGGGCGCATGGTCACGTGTTTACTGCATTGAAGGCGGCCATGCGGAGAGCTTGAGACGCCAATATCCATCGCCTCGCCGTTCCATGTCGTGGCGTGTGTGAGATGCTGAGCACCCCTCGAGCGAGGTCAGCGTGAGTTCCTCGCGGATCGCGCGCCTTTTCCGCCCTTCTTTTCCCGAAGCGGAGCTTTCGCCGCGATAAGATCAGGGCAGCGGTTGGGGCATGTGGGACAGAGGAGGCGGCACAGCGCGGGCGAGACAAGGTAGATGAGGCGCGCGGCTGGCAGGGCCCCAGTTTACGCGCTTTCCACCTCCTTACTGCTCCTTCAACCTCCTCGCCTTCGCCTTCCCGCGCGCTCTTTCCTCGCCGCCCCCCCTCTCTGCAACGCCTTGCCCCTTGCGCCCTCCCTGCGCGCCATGCCAACGCCGCCCGCCCTATCGCCTTGGCCCGCCTCGCCGTCACCCGCCCCTCGCAGCGTCGCGCGCAGCCCTTCCGCTGCCGCGCCTGCTCCGACCGCTGCTGCCCGCACTGCCCACCACGCCGCGCGCCTCGAGAAGCGCGCCTGTCGCCCGCTCTTATGCCTCGCTGCCCGCCAGTCCATGCGCGCCCCTTCCCCCATACTACCGTACCTGTCCGCGCGGCACCTCCTCGCCCCGCGCGCGCTCTCCGCCACCAGCAGCGCCCCACACTACTCCGCGCGCTCATGCGTGGTGGGCGCCGACTGGGGGAGCAGTGCGGGTAATGCGCAGGGGGGGGCGGCAACGTGGGGAAGAGCGAGGTGGCGGAGGTGGGAGGGGCGGGCGGCGCAGAGTGGTGGGGGGCTGGAAAGGCTGTGGATGAGGGGGCGGCTGGTGGGTGCTTACTCGGCGTATGGGCAGGCGAGAAGCACACATGCGGTGACCGCACCGGGGGCAGGGGGGGAGAGCGACGAGGCGCAGGGGCGAGGGCAAGCACAAGAGCAGGTGGCGCAGGCTCAGGAGCAGCAGCAGGTGGGCGCAACGGGGGAGGGGGAGGCGGGGGGCAAGGAGGAGGCATCGGCAGCAGCAACGCCAGCGTCGCGTGCGGAGGTGCAGCAGGCAGGCGCAGCAGAGGGAGCGTGGCAGGCGGGCGGTGGTGGTAATGGCAGTGCAGGCCGTGCACCCAGCTCCTCGCCCTCACACGCGGTGGTGCATGGCGCTGTGCCGGCTGCGCTTGGGTGGCAGGGGGCGATGGCAGCGCGGGCAGCAGCAGGAGTGGACGCAAAGAAGAGGCTGGCGGCTCAAGTGGCGCGTAGGCACGCCCAGGGAGGCCCATTCGCGCCCCTGCATGGCGGGGACAGTGGTGCTTCGGATGGGCGTGCAGGCGTGGCAGCGATGCGTGGGGCGGGAGAAGGGGAGAGGAGCAGTGCAGGCGCACAGCACAGCGGCGGCGGCAGCACGAGCAGGAGGCACAGCAGTTGGCGCAGGGCGAATGGCAGCGCTGCTGGCCCCCCGCAAGCGTCCATGGCGGCAGGCGTGGCGGTGCATGGGCACAGGCCTGGAGGTGGCGCCCCGCACAGCTCAGGGACGCGCAGTGGCGAGGCGGAGAGGCAAGGCTCCAGTGGCACCTCGCACGCCCCTTATGCCCCTCGTGCTGCCCTGCCGCAACACAGGAAACACAGGTCCCATCAGCACAGGCAGCGCGCAGCAGAGGAGGCGCAGGTTGAGCTGGTGGGCACGGTGACTCGCGTGGTGGCAGAGAGCAACGGGTGGATGGCCTTCAAACTCAATGTCTCCACCATGCTCTCTCACCCCACAGTGCTGCTCTCAGAGCTTCCAGGGGCGCACGTGCAGCCTGGCAATGGTGCACGTGCAGCGGAGGCGGGGGCGGGCAGCACGGCAGGGGAGGGTGTGGCTGCTTTGAGTGTTGAAGAGGGCGGGAGTGTGGAGCGCGCAAGAGCAGCAGCGTTGGTGGCGCGGGGCGGGGGCGAGGGGCTGAGCGAGGAGGAGAGGGCGACTCTTCAGCTTCACATGCTGGCGGGGCAGTTGGCAGTGGTGGGCGTGGTGGGGAGTGTGAAGGCCGGGCAGCAGCTGCGCGTGATGGGGCGGTGGGTGAGCAGCAAGTATGGCCCACAGCTTAAAGCGAGAGAGGCGCACGCAGTGCTGCCCCAGGAGACGGAGGACATAGAAACGTCAGTGCTGCACTGCTCCCTCTTATACCTGCATCGCTCAACGCACGCTCCGCTTCCCACACTCCCGTCCTCACCTTGCATCGTGACCTCTTTGTTTCCCACGGCTCTCCATGATCCATGCCTTGGCCGCCACCCCGTGCTGCATGCCTTGGCCCACTCCATGCTGCGTGCCGTGCCTCACCGCACAGGTACCTAGCGGAGCTGCTCGAGCTGCTCCCAGGCGTGGGTCCGATTTTGAGAATTCTCAAAAACGGTGCCGTGCCTCACCTCGCAGGTACCTAGCGGAGCTGCTCCCAGGGGTGGGCCCCAAGACAGCCCGTGCACTGCTGGACCACTTTGGTGCCGGCGTCTATGACACGCTCAACAGCTCTAAGGCCATCACATTGCTGCAAGAGGTGCGCAGGGGAGGCACGTGCGCATGCTTGCATGTGCGTGTTGTGTGGTGGGGTGGGGTGGGATGGGTGGCACCACCTGTGACACCATGCATTGCCGTGTCATTGTGTGTCATGGTTTCTGGACGAAATAACTCCCATGTTCATTCCTAACCCTCCTGTATTATGCCTGTGCCTTGTCGTGTTGTGTCCCATGGCGCGTGGCATGAGACTGGCATGGCATCAGGTGCCGGGCATAGGGAAACTGACAGCGAAGCGCATCAAGACAGCATGGGACAAGGCGAGGACAATGCGGGAGGGGCACAACCAGCTGGTGCAGCTGGGCATTCCCCCCCTGGCCGTCGTGGAGCTCAGTGAGTGCTGCACTGCACGCCTCTCTCCCACGCCCTCCCCACCATACAGCATCCAATCCAACCCTCTGCTCTGCCATGATGACCTGACCGCTCATCCATGTCGCTGCAGGGACTTTTAACAACTCTCGAAAGTTCCCTGCAACTCACCCATGCCTACCTGCGCCCTCCCTGCTCTTGCCCTGCCTCCCCACTGCCGTGATCCCCTCTCTCCCTTGGGCAGTAAGGCAGCACCCAATGGACCACGCAGTGAGTGTGGTACAAGCGGATCCCTGGGCGGCACTGCAGGCCGTCCCAGGCGTGCCATTCGACCTGATCGACTCCATGTCTCCCTGCGCCTGCCCTGCCACCCCACTACCCCTCTCTCCCTTGGGCAGTAAGGCAGCACCCAATGGACGCAGTGAGTGTCGTCCAGGCAGACCCCTGGGCGGCACTGCAGGCTGTCCCAGGCGTGCCGTTCGACCTGATCGACTCCGTGGCTCGCAAGCTCGGGTGCTCCCCCGCACACCCCTCGCGCCCCTGCGCTCTGCTGCAGGCGTCGCTGGTGGACCTCTGCCCCAACAACTGCCATGTGTTTGTCCCCTGGTCGCACCTGCTGCGCTATGCCGCCCGCCTGCTCGCTTCCTGCCACGAGGAAGACCCGTATGAGGGCGGCCAGGGGGAGGAGTGGCAGCAGCAGCAGCAGCAGGAGGCATGGGAGTGGGGCAGGGCGATGGAGGAGGGGCGGCTGGAGGAGGCGATGGGGGAGCTGCAGAGGAGGGGCGTGGTGGTGGTGGAGAGAGCCGAGGACGATGGCAGCAACGGGCGTGCAGAGCGTGCAGGGCGTGCAGCGAGCAGTGGTGGCAGTGGTGGCAGTGGGAGCAGTGGGAGCAGTGGGAGCAGCTCTGGGTGGAGCGATGCGAGTGGGTGGAGTAGTGGCAGTGAGGGTAGTGGGAGTGAGGGCAGTGGGGATGGCGAGTGGGAGGGGGGAGTGCGTGGGGAGCAGTCAAGCACAGAGGGCGGAGGGTCAGCATTGGGGCGCAATGACCGATGCTACCTCGCATGGATGCTACAGGCTGAGGTTCGTTTCGTCCTTGCGCTCTCTTCTCTTCTCTTCTCTCTTGCTCGTGAATCCATACAGCCCTGAGCGCTGCTATGGGGACTTGAACTCGTCCCAATAACAGCGCCACCACCACCCTCTGTCGCCGACTCACCACACTTTGTCGCCACCCCACCACCCCTTGTCCCGCACACTCCCCCCCGTCCCTCCCCTGGCGCTCCATGGCAGAGGGAGGTGGCGCAGCAGATGGCGGTGAGGGCGAGTCGGGGCGTGCACGAAGCAGAGCAGCTGCAGCACGTGCGCGAGTGGGTGCGGCAAGAGGAGGGGCACGCAGAGCAGCACCTCACGGCGCAGCAGTGTGCCGCGGTGGAGGCAGCAGCGCTAGCACACGTGATGGTGCTCACGGGGGGCCCGGGCTGTGGCAAGACGTACACCACTCGCCTCATCACTCGCCTCTGGACCGCTCAGGGCAAACAGGTGCGGCTGGCACCCCACACGCTATTCCACGCACATTAGATTGCAACCTGCAAGTGCCCTCTCACTGCCATCTGCTTCCGCCTTGCTTTATTCTCCCCGCCCTGCTATGTGCGCTGCTATCTGCCCGCCTCCCACCACCCCTATGCCTGCGCGCTCTCAGGTGATGCTGTGCGCGCCTACAGGGCGGGCAGCGCAGCGGCTGGAGGAGGCAACGAAGCAGAAGGCGCACACCATTCACAAGCTGCTGGGGTACTCCTCTAATGCTGCGGACCAAGAGCTTAGTGCTGCTGCCATGGGTGTCACAGGAGTGGGTGGGGCGGGCATGGTGTGCGATGATGCACTGGGCAACGACCTGCCGCTGTTTAACCACAACAAGGACAACCCCCTTAAGGTGCGCTCCCCTCAAAGTGCCGTGCCGTGCCAAGCCACGCACATCCATCAGCATTCAAGTGGCTCCCTCCCGTCCTGCCTGCTGTCTTGTCGAGCTGGTGTATTCTCTTGTGCCCCCAACTGCACAGTCACTTGCGCTCGTTCAGTGATGCCCCGGTGCGTGTGTGCTACGGCATGTGAGCAGGCGGACGCCATAATAGTGGACGAGGCGTCGATGCTGGATGTGCCGCTGGTGGCAGCGCTGCTAGCAGCGTGCCCTCCGGACTGCCGGATCCTCTTCGTGGGGGACAAGGACCAGCTGCCACCCGTCGGACCCGGCAAGTTTCTCGCTGATATCATGGGGTGCGTGCTCCTCTACCGTGTACCATGCTCGTTGCACAGCCCTCTTATCCCTGCATTTCTCCTTGTCCTTACCAATAGAATGCTTCCCATGCTCATTTCGAAATCTCTTTCGCTTGCTATGCTGCCAGGATCACCTATCCTTGTGTGTGGGACCTCTAAATCCCGCCCTCTATGCTGAGCACTCTATGCTGAGCCCTCTATGCTGAGCCCTCTATGCTGAGCCTGTGCCTGTTATGTGTATGTGAGCGGGGGAGCAGGTGTGGGTTTGTGAAGGTGCATCGGCTGACGCACATATTCCGACAGGCGCAGCAGTCGCACATAGTGCAGCACGCCCACGCCATCCTCAACGGCACGCGCCCCTCCTTCTACGCGCCCTGGCCTCGCTTCCATTCTGCTGCCGTCGCCTCTGCCCTCTCCTCCTTGCCTCCCCCCCCCTCCCCCCCCCCCCCCCCACCACCACCACCACCACCACCACCACCACGGATGCTGATGCATCTGCTCCCTCGCTCCCCGCTGCTGCTCTTCGTGCGGAGAGTGCTGGAGAGGGTGACCAGTGGTGGACCAGTCTCACCTCCGACTGTGTGCTCTTGCACGTGCGTCCGCACCTAAACCCCTCGTATTTCGTTGTCCCTCATGTCCCGGCTTATTCCCATTCTTGTTCCTGCGCTTCTCCACCCATGAATTCCCCTCGGTAGTTCTCGTGGCCCATGTGTCTCCTCCTCTCACTCCTCTCGCGTCTCTCTCTCTCTTGCCTCTCCCCTTTTTGTTTATTAAACCATGTAACGCCCATTTTCTCCCCATCCATCCATTCACACTCTTTTCCATCTCTCCTTGACGCCGTTCACTCTCCTCCCTTTCCTACCCAACTCAAACCCCTCTCCACCTCCCCCATCGTGCCCTGGGCAGGCGCGGACGCACGGGGAGATGGAAGTGGTGATGCAGCATGTGCTCACGCGCGTGCTGCCGCACCTCACAGCATCGCCACGGGACGACGTGCAGGTGCTGGCGCCCGTGCAGCGCGGCCACTTCGGCGTCATGCTCCTCAACTCCGTGAGTGCACCACACACCCACTCTCACGGCTGTAATACACGGGCTCTCTGGGGGCTGTAATACACAGGCGCTATGGGTGCTGCCATGCGCTGCCGCACTGTGGGGTCGAGGGTGAGGGGGGCAGCTTAGGAAGTGGAAGGAGAAGCGAACACGAGAGGCAGAGTAACATGTATTTATGAGCAAGGGGAGGAGGTACTGAGATGACTTTTCCGTGCATCATACTACCCGCCCTCCTTCTGGCAGCGTCTGCAGCAGCTATTGAACCCGCCGTGCAGCAGCAAGAGGGAGCACCGCGTGGGGCCAGACATGGTGTTCCGAGAGGGCGATAGGGTCATTCAGCTGGTGAGTCGCTCAGCTAGCCATGGGCAGTCCATCAGTAGTCACATGAGCATCCCACCACAACCCCGCCCACACTGCTCACGCTCAAAGCGCAAGCCAAGCCTGCATGCGCCAATGCTCCTCTCTCTCTCCACCGCCTCACTGCCATGCGCCCTGCCTGTGTTTGCGTGTGTGTGCATGGGTGCCATGGGGCGAGTAGCGCAACGACTACATGTTGGATGTGAGCAACGGCGACCTAGGGATCATCACCAGGATCGTCCACGGCGATAAGAAGGTGCGCCCCACGCCTGTCGAAACATCAGGCTAAAACGATAAACAGGAAAGAGGGGTTTTCACTAGCAGTAGTTGAGATACATATAGGAAACCCTAATTGGGTTGTACTCGCTATAGAGTACCCCACTGCAGGCTAGACAAACATCGACATTCTGACACACCCCCATAGTCAAAGTGGGGTACAATCAACACAACAAGCAAGCAGAGCAATAGTTCACACGGATAAGCAAAGCTAGAGAGGCTATCACAGAGGGCAAGTGAGGAGGAGGAGAAATTGTGGGGGCGAGAAGATGCGAGACGATGGCTGAAGCTGCAGACACACGGGCAACAGGAGTGCGCAGCACTGTTGCTACCAGGCTAAACCCGGACTACACGGCGACAGGCGCAGCTGGCTCGCTGTGCTCTTAGGAGTGCTCACACTGTGGCTACCGGGCGCAGAGCCCCGGACTACACGGCCACAGGGGGTCGTGGCTCTCTGGATACCAGGAGTGCTCACACTGTGGCTACCGGGTCAGAGCCCCGGACTACACGGCCACAGGGGGTCGTGGCTCTCTGGACTTCAGGCGCTGCGGACGACAAGACGACTGCCTCCACACAACTTCCCCCAGCTGTCCCACACCCCTTTCACACACTCCATGCTGCACCTCTAGCACTGCTCACACGCCACCCCCCTCGTACCACTCCGACGGCTCCAACACATCCACCCCCCTCAGCGGCAGCTGCAGCAGTGGGAGACGGAGGAGGAGGAGGAGGAGCAGGGGACGGCTCACACACCCGGCACCCCCATACTCTCCACCCCCAAACCCTAACACAGGAGCGCGGGCAGCAACAGGGGTGGGGCGCGGTCAGAAGCTCGGGACGAACCGCACGCGGGCTGCCCGGGCCGCTCGCGGGCCTGGCGCAGCCCGTACGGGCCGCGCGCGGGCTGTACGGGCCGCGCGCGGGCCTGGCGCAGCCCATACGGGTCGCGCGGGCCGCGTCGGTCGACGGGGGGCGACGCAACGGTCGACAGGGGGCGACGCGCGGTTCGACGGGGCAGAAAACCGCCGCGCGCCCCGAGCGCGTGGCGGGAAGAAAAATCGCTGCGCGCCCGGAGCGCGCGGCAGGCAGGAAACAGCACGCGCCCGGGGCGCGCTACATGCAGTAGAGCAGCGGAAGCATCGGGTGGGGCCCACCCACAGGATCGACCCAGGAGGGTCGACCTGCTCTGATAGCATGTCGAAACAGCAGGCTAAAACGATAAACAGGAAAGAGGGGTTTTCACTAGCAGCAGTTGAGATACATATAGGAAACCCTAATTGGGTTGTACTCGCTATAAAGTACCCCACTGCAGGCTAGACAAACATCGACATTCTGACAACCCCCCTATACAGCGCCGCTGTTTTGAGTTGACTCAAAACACGGCGACCTAGGGATCATCACCGGGATTGTGCACGGTGACAAAAAGGTGCGCCGCGCTTCCATCCCCTCATACAGCGCCGCTTGCCTGTACCAGTGCTCGTGGTTCTGCTGCTGCCTCCTGTGCTCCCTTGCACCAATGCGTGTGTGTGCACACGCTGTGCCGTGTGCCCCCTCCCATGGCCCCTCTCCCTTTGTCCTCGTGCATGTGTGTGTGTGCGCGCATGTGTTTTTGTGTGTGTGTGTGTGTGTGTGTGTGCGCGCGCATGTGTGTGTGTGTGCGCGCGCGCGCGTGCACCTGTGTGTGTGAGTGTGTGAGGGCGAGTGAGAGCAGGTGGAGCTGCATGTGGACATGCTATCGGGCAGCACCGCCGCCCCACAGCGAGTCATCTACACCAACGACCATCTCAAACACCTCACTCAAGCATGGGTGCACACAATATGCCTCTCACTCTACTCCATTCCTCATGCTCCTTCTCCCCCTCCCCCCTCCCCCTCCCCCTCCCCCAGTCGTTTGCTTCTTTCCCTCGCACTTTCTGTCACCTCGTTCTAGTTCCATGTCTCCCCCTAGCGATGCGCCCTCGTGTCCTGCTTCACCCACACTATCCATCTGCCACTTGCCCTGTTAAACACAGAAGCTTAGGTCCTCTCCTCTTGCTGCTTCTTCTCATGTGCCAATGAGCCATGTCATCTCCTCGCCAGCTCAGTGTGTGGCCCGGATTATGTGTGTGTGTGTGTGGCATGGGTGGTGGCAGAGCATCACGGTGCACAAGGCGCAGGGCAGTGAATACCCCATCGTCATCCTTCCGCTCTCTGCTGACTATGGCAACTTCTTCAGGTCTGCTCCTTGCACCTTGCACTACCATGCACGCATGCACTCATGCACCCACCACCCAACCAATCATCTCTGTCCCACTGCACTCTCTGCACACACAAATCTCCTGCCACGTCATCCCTCAGAACTCATCCATCCCATCCGTGACCCCATGCCCCTGCACCACGTGCGCGTGCCCCAGTCGCAACCTTTTGTACACGGGGCTCACGCGTGCACCTTGCGCTTGTACCCAACCATCCCTCTGTGTCGCTCCACTGCACACACCAACTTCCTGCCCCATCATTCGTCTCACATCCACAACTCATGCATCCCATCCCTGCACCATGTGCGCCTGCCCCAGTCGCAACCTGTTGTACACGGGGCTCACGCGAGCGCGCAAGTTGGTGTTCCTCATCGGGCGAGAGGAGGAGGCCATGGCAGCGCTGCAGCGCACGCGGCAGGAGCACCGCCACACGCGCTTGCTGCACCGCCTGCTCGAGTACTGGCAGTACTGCACTGGCGACTCCACACACGGACCCCTCCCACCCTCTCACAGCCCATAGGCTCAAAGTCTCTCCTTTTCTTCTCATTCCCCAGAGTGGAGGGGGGATGTGATACGGTGTAAGATCATACATAGGTATCTAATGCGAGAGTGAGGCTTCCTGCCAGCCTCCTTATTCATTGCCATCATGCAACGAATTGCCAATGGTTTATGATGGTGCATTCTCTTTCTCACACACATGCCTCCAATAGATTCCTTGTACCGTAATTGAGCGCTAACTCTTCCCAATACACAGCCTTTAATAATTACAGCAATATAAGAGGAGAAATAAGGCATGGCGATTTTATGCTGAGTGAGCGGCACATGCATTGTGCATTGTGCGCCCGTGGCTTGAGCTTGGCAAAGTGACAGCAGCACACTGTTGTCGCAATTAGAGCTTGTGGTTGTGGGAGACCAGCACGCAGGCAGCACGATGACCTTGGCCCCACGCTGGCATCTTCCCACGACGGCTACCTCACTCTCGCTCTGCAATGTCATGCAGCTGAGTCACTGCCTGCAATGCTGGCTGCGGATGTGGGTGATCTATCAATGTGTCACATCTGTTAGTGACCGTCATGCATGGCATGGGAGCATGGCATGTGAGCATGGCATAGGAGCATGGCATGGGAGGGGCAACACCACAGCTGCAGCATGGTGGCATGCTGCAGTCACAGGGATGGCGTTGGGGGCCTGGTGGGAGCGGCGGCGAGCATGCGCAGGAGGCGTGGGAGAGTGAGCGCGCCGGGACCAAAGCCGTCAAACACTGCTCGCACTCCTCTGAACTCCGCCCCTGATGTCATGCTGGCGGACGGCCACGCATGCACGAGGGGGGGTAGTGTGCAAGTAGGAGCACACATAGGGGCATGGGAGGAGTGGGGAGGACAAGGAGTATATTGGGTGGAACGTGAATGAAGGTCCATGTGTGTTGAGTGTGGTGTGCGGAGAGGGAACAGGAATGATAGGCAGGGGAGAAGCAGAGGTGATGTGCATGGCAGGGCCGTGAGTGCATGGCAGGGCGCACCTGCTGCGAACAACACATGCAGTCATGCCCACTCGCCCCGCCATTTGCACCGTGCCCTGACACCCCGCCAGCACCACACACGCTGCCGCCGGCACCCCCACCACCTCCGCTGCTGCTCGCAGCATGGCTACACCCTCCTGTGACTCAGACCTGCATCAGCACCCCACCGCAGGTGAGACGTGCAGGGCGGAAAGAGGAAGAGGTGCCACGAGTGAGCGGGGTGCTTGGTGTGTGAGAGGCATGTGGGTGTGTACACGGTCTTGCCTGTGCATGCAAGTTGGTCGCACGTGCGCGTGTTGTAAGGTGCGAGAGAGCACGAGAGAGATTGAGATGATAGCGGGATGGGTACGGGGAAGAGAAGAGCGAAATCAGGGAGAAAGGGAAAGGGGAAGGGAAAGGGAAAGGGGAAGGGAAAGGGAAAGGGAAAGGGAAAGGGGAAGGGAAAGGGGAAGGGGAAGGGAAAGGGGAAGGGAAAGGGAAAGGGGAAGGGGAAGGGGAAGGGGAGGGGCACGCACGGGATGTCTAGGTCCACTGTGAGCTTGAGCGTGCGCGCCACCTCCTCCGCTATTCGCCTCTTCTCCACCAACACTGCTCCCGTGTTGATGCCCGCCCCATGCATGCACACACGCATGCACGCACACATGCACACACACGTGCACACACACAAGCAAAGGCAGGAAGACACAGAAGTTTGAGAGGTCACTGCAAGAAGGTGGAACGGTGTAGAGGCAGAGTGTGATGCAGCAACCACTCGCACAAGCAAGGCAGCAGCAGAGCAGCAGACCCACCAGCCTGAGCCATGTGCGCAGCCAGTGCCTCATCCACGCCTGCTGACGCCCCTCCTCCCAGCACCACCTGCCCGAACGCACTCTCCCTCGCCTCCCTCTCGCCCACCACGTGCACCCGCTGCTGCAGCGCCGCTGGCATGCCCCTCAGCACGCCCCTGCACGCACTCACCGAGCAGAATCGGGGGAAAAGGCAGTGGGGGAGGGGGAGGAGGAAGGCAAATTGGGAAGGAAGGCACGTCTCTGGGACCAAAAACCGTGCCAATCCAATGCTCTCAGCACTTAGATCTCGTGTTCTCCCCATCCCACCACACCCACCAGCACCACCACCCTCCCTTTACAGCCAAACGCAGCCCTCGCCCCTTCCTATCCCATCCCCGGGGCCCGGCCCATCTGCCCCTTCCTCTACCCACCTCGCCGTGTCCTCCCCACTCCGTGCCAGCCCTGCCAGCACTGCCACGTGTACTCCAGCTGTCACCGCGTCCTGTAGAAAGCTGCCACGTCACAGGCACGAGGCAGAGGGTGGGAGGTGAGATCTGGTGCTTGATGTCGGAGGGGATGGGCAGGATGGCGGTGGTAAGGGGGTGGAGAGGGGGAGAGGGTTGGCAGGGTGCTTGCTGGGACGATGGGTGGGGCTCAGAACAGGAGCAAGTGGGAGGTGCTGCGATGCAGGAGAGCAGAGATGACGAAGGGGCATGCGCGAAGGAACGGTGGCATGAGCACGGGCGGACAGAACTAGTGCGACATGGTGTGGAGGAGCGCGTGTGGAGGAGCGCGTGTCAACCAGGGGGAACACACTCCTCCACAGGACAGCACTCCCATCTCCGACCCGGCAGCACAGCATCACTGCCCCAATCTCCAACTAACTGCTCTTCAGCATCCCACCTCCACCTCGGCCACACCCCGCTCTGCCCAGCCCACTCACTCCACGAGTCCGGGCCGCAGCGGCACTGATCCCTGCTGCAGTGCACGCGACAAGGCCTGCTCCTGGAAAGGGAGCAAGGTGGAGAGGGATGCACAACCGCGGCAGAGTGGTGTGGGAATGCAGTGTGGCTTAGGTTGGAAGAGAGAGGGGCCATCGGGAGGGAATGGGTGGATCGGACAGAGGGAAGAAATGACCTGACAGGGTATTGCACGGCACGGCACAGCATGGCATGGCACGGCACAGCACGGCACGGCACGGCACGGTATGGCAGGGCATGGGGGGGCATGGAAGGGCACGTGGTATGGAGCGCACCTTGAGGTTGAGCAGGCGCTGCAGCAGTGCGTGCTTGGCCTGTGCGTCCAAGGAGGGGATGGGCCACGCTGACTGCAGGAGAGGGATGGGCGTAGGGAGGAAGAGACCGAGAGGGAGATAGCGGTCAGCAGATGGTTGGGGAGAACTGGGAGGCAGAGCGGCAAGAAGAAGAGGAGGCAGAGGAGGAGATGGAGATAGACCATGGTGGATAGAGTGGAGCTGTTGCACATGCAACTGGTTTACAGCGAGCACATAATAAGTACAGGAGAGAAGAAAGTGCAGAAACAGAGTGTATAGACACTTGAGGAATTCAAGTGTGTGGGCGGTAAGGGCCGTACAGCATTGAAGTGCGTGGAGAGCAGCAGCTCGAAATTTCCTGCACACTTCCTGATGTCCACACACACACATAGCAGTAGCAACAGCAGCAACAGCAGCAACAGGTGGCAAGGGCATTTTATTACATGGGTGCAAATAAAATATGTTGAATCTCAGTCCAGCTTGTGCTATCATACTTGAAACCACAAATGGTGCTCGGGAGAAAGGGGGGCGGCAAGGTTGGGCGCACCTGTGGAGGTCTCTGTAGCGCGAGGGGGAGAGGCGGTGCGCGTCAAACGCCAGCGACGACAGGGCTGCCCGCGCGGCCAGGGGGAGGGGGAGAGGAGACGGGGGCAGGGCGGAATTACATGGCATGAGAGACGTAGCAGTGTATGGCGATAGAGCGGCGGTGATCGGGCTTGATTGATGCACGGGCGAGTATATGTGGGCATAGCATGGTGTGGTTGCAAGCACTGAGTCAGCACGTGGGCATGAGGTTTGCCCGTGCACGCACCTGAATTGAGGGCTTCCATGTGCCCGTTGCGATGCAGGTCCACCATTACCCTGCCATGCACATGCACGCACACACGCTCACTCACACACTCGCTCATGAACGCACATCATATGCATGCCAGCTATAAATAAAATGAAAGCAGCGCCAGTGCTACCCCGTACCGCACAGCATGCACGCGTCCGCGCATCCAGCATGCACCTATGCCGCGCCCCAACCAGGCATCCGTCCAAGCGCCTCCATTCCGCTCACCCTTCCACGTCCACCAGCAGCGCCACGCCCGCCTGTCGTCCCTCCCCGCGCCACCGCTCCTCGCCGTGCGGCGACGCGACCGCGCTCGCCGCCACTGCTCGTCGCCGCGTGCGCGCGCGCCGGGGTGCAAGCGATGCCTGCGCGCAAGACCACGAAACGCGCGGGTGAGCGCCGACGAGGACGGAAACACGACAGCGTGAGGCGCGCCGAGCTCTCAGGGCGCTCAAGCCCCTGGGGTCGGGGTGCCGTGAGAAATCACAGCGCAAATTGCGGCGAGGGCGCGAAGACTGCTAGTACCGACCTGGCGAGTGGAGCCGCTGGTCGCAGCGAGTGATGACGGCGGTTGAATGCGCGCGCTGTGACGGCTGACGGTGAGCTGCAGGTGTGAGACGCGAGGCGCGGTGGGAACGTGGCACGCCATAGGCGGGGGTTGGCAGGCGCGACTCATCAGAGGAATCGCCGACTCGCTGGCGCCACGGGCGCTCTCGTGCAGAGGAAACTTGCCTTGCCCGTCAAGGAAACTACGGCTAGTGAAGGGTACGTCGCAGGACTACCAAACAGCCGCCAACTTAGAAGATGTGGTTCGTGAGAGTACTGGAGAAAGGCTGCGGCAAATGTAGGCTGGAATTCAAGCATTTGAGCGCTGCACGGCACAAACTGAGTGCACGGGCGGGAACGACGGTTGCGGATGCTGGTGTAGAGCGAGTGAGTTAGTGCGGCGCGACGAAGTTGATTGGTGAGACAGGGGGGACGCACCCAGGCTGACCAATCAAAAGCAGCTGGTCGAACAGAATGTGTGCGTGACGGAGCTCTTATTGGACGAAAAGTGGTGGTTGAGGAAAAACAGAGTGGCACACAGTGAGCCAATAGGAGCTAGTTGACTTTCTCACTGTGATATAAGAATTGTATACAGCTGTAATTCAGTCTCCATAAACCCCCTTCTAACAAAACGGAACTGTCACAAAAAATACAATGAAATCAAGTATGGCACTTGCTATGCAACAAAACATCTAGGTAATCTCTGAAAATATGTAACACATTCGATGTGTAGTGACTTGTTGAAACCCAACAGGTGGTCATTCAAAATAGACACAGCCACGTGCCCCGGGGAATAACAATGACGGAATGGTGAAGGTGCTGGCATGGAATGAGTGAGGGCGCCTTGTTGAAGCCTCGGACGGGCACAATCAAGCAAGGTATCTGAAGTTGGTGGGGTTCTCTTTGTCACGCTCCAGGTACTCACGCGCAATCAGATCCTCAATGCGCTTCTTGATCACCTTGAAGTCCGGCTGCTCACACACACTCAAGTGGTGCACACATCAGATTCCCTCCGTCACTCCTGCAGCCAAGCGGGTGGCTTGGAGAAGCGCCTGGTACAACTCACGTTCCTTGGAAGAAAAGGTACAAGACGGCAATGAGAGCAAACGGCTGGCGCAGGAGGGGAAGGCGTGTGAGGAGGGGCGTTACCTTGAACATGCGGCCTAGTTGCTCGACGCATTCGAGCACGAGCTGCTGGTGGCCCAGCACCTTGCGGCTCTTCATGATGCGCACGATGGACGCGTCTATGGCGTACCGCCTGTCCTTGTCCACGTCCTCTATCACCTTCTTCTTCTCGTCCATCGGCGGCAGCGGCACCTGCACAGCACCCACACACCACCACACCAGCACACCACCACACCACCACATGACAAGGAGGAGCAGGGGACGGGAGAGCACCCACCATGACACAAAAGAGAAGGTTGTGTGAGCCCACTGTGACATGACCTTGGGGCCACTGTAACAACAGCAGCAACACACAGAAAGCACCGCAAGGCTATGGAAACAAGAGAGTGGCGTGCAGGGCAGAGCAGGCAGACAAAGCACTGACCTTGATGCGCCGCATCTTGTCTGTGAAGGACAGGTTGAAAGCGAACACGTCGCTCTGCTCAATGGTCTTCCCAGCCGGCTCCTTCACGAGAATCTTATACTTGGCGCAGGACAGCGAGTGCAGCAAGCGCACAATATCCTCGTCCGTGAGGTTCAGCTGGTTCTTGATGTCGCTGTAGCTCAGGCGCTCAGATGCGTTGAAGAGCAGCAGCACGGCGGCCTGGTACGTGGTGACGATGAGCTCGATGGGCTTGGCCGTGAACTTGCCCGTGATGTTGCACGTGCCCAGCGAGTAGATCCACGTCAGCTTGCGGTGCTTCGTCTTCGTCTGGTAAAACTCCTTGAACACCTCCACACACCGCACCTGATGCCCCATGCCCGCCCACACCACACATGCACACACATGCACGCACGCACACGCACACGCACACACATGCACAGTCATACAGCGAGATCATCACAAAGTTTAACACAATGCAAATGACGGAGATGCCCGATGGGAAAGAATCCGGGTGAAGCAGCGAATTCTGCAGCGGAGGGCGAGGCGGGAGGGCGAGGCGGGAAAGAGAGCGCACCATTTCAGCGGGCAGCGCAAGGTCGGAGGACTTGTAGGAGGGCCAGAAGCCGGTGGTGAGCACGGTGACGGTGAGGTCTATGCCCGGACTGTGCCCGGGGTTGTCCGCCAGATACTCCTCAAACGCCGCCTGCTGCTCCCGTGCCAGCGTCAGATCCGTCACCTGTAGAGGGACACACACACATGCACGCACATGTCCACATTGGGCTTCAAACCAGGATCCCTGTATGAGAAAGACGTGCAGCTGGAGTGCAGGAGGGGACGGTGCAGGTGTGTGTGTGTGGAGGAAGGCACGGACCATGCCCTCCATCTTGGAGGTGAACTGGCCCCCGCACTGCTGCTTGAGCTTGGTGAGAATGCTGCGCTCGTGGTCGTCGTTCGCACTCTTGTCAAACAACAGCCGCCGCGCCAGCTTCTTGCTGCCACATGCGTGTGTGTGTTGGGAGGGTGGGGGGGGGGAGGGGGGGTACCCAGGACGTGAGAGGTGATGAGCAAACAATAACAAATCACGAAGCGCATGCAGAAGGGAAAAGAACTTGCGTAAACACGGAGACGGGGAAAGGATGGATACGGTGGTGAGTGTGCTTGCATGGTGAGTGCGTGACATACCGGTAGAACTCAGCAAACAGATCCTTGTCACTGATGTACGCCAGCAGCTTCACCACCTGCACAGGCAACACAGAGGCGCAAAAGGGGCAAGGAATAGTTGCAACAAAACAGCTGAAATCATGAATGGACAGCTGAAGAGAAGTAAAGAAGCACTGCCACAATGACAGCACAACACAATCCCTTACAGAATGCAAACCCCAGCCCCTCACAGCCCATGCCCAGAGATCATACACACACATATACACTCCTTCCCAGTACACACACCCCTCCCCACCAACCTCCCCCCTCCTTTCCCCCTTCTCTCCACTTCCTTCTCCCCCCACCTTCTCGAGCGTGTCTTCAATGGCCTCGTCACTGAGCTTCTCGCTGCCGCCCTTCTTGAGCAGGTTGTCACAGAACGTCGCCAGCAGCTCCGCACTCGTGCTGCCGCCCACGCCCTTGTTGCAAAACGTCTCAAACGCCTCCTTCAACGCCTGCTCGCCCCGCAACCCACCCACCCACACACGTTGCCCCACACATACATGCACGCACGCGCGTATGGCATCCAAAACACGGTTAAAGAGGTAATATGACGAGGTGCAGGAAGCAGCGGCAGAGGAGACGCGTGAGAGGGCAACAGAGAGATGCTGACAAAGAAGACCAGCTCAGGGCGTGAAGCTGAGGAGAAATAGAAATGAGTGCTGGGAACAGGAGAAGTACAAGAACATGCAGAGAGAAGAACAGAGCAGAAGGAGGGGGGGAGGAAGGGAGGGGGGAGGGGGGGAGAGAGAGGGGGAGAAAGACAATTGTGAGGGTGAAGGAGAGCAGGGGCGGGGGGGCGACCTTGTGGAAGAGCGAGTGGTTGAGGAAGCAGTGGCTGACGTATTGCAGGTACTTGTCGTGCAGCTCTATCACCTTGCGCACAAACGCCTGCTCCTGCGCCCCCACTATGTCCTTCTTCTCCACCTGCTCCGCCCCGCACAGCCCGTGCAGCAGCGGGGAAAGGAAAGGGGGAGGAGGTCAGGGAAGAGGGAAGGAGGGAAAGATGCATGATGCGGGATGAGAAAGAGAGAATGAGAATCAAGGATGCGGAATGAGAGATGCGAATTTGGGATGCAGGGTGGGAATAGCCCAAGCTAGTGAGAGCAGGGCAGGTGCTGTGGGACGCAAGAGGGCACGCACGGCACGGGGAGGAGCAGCAAGGAGGCGAGAAGGGGCGCACTGACCTTCTTGTTGCTGGCGGCATCCTCTGCCTGCTTTTGAGAATTCTCAAAAGCGACTCAGATTTTGGAGGAGATAAGTGGCGCACTGACCTTCTTGTTACTGGCCGCATCCTCTGCCTGCTTCACCAGCGCTGTGCCCTCGTCCGTCACATGCTGCTCTCGCCACACACACACACACCCACGCACACATGCACACACACACACACACACACACACACACACACACTCACGCACACATGCACACACACACACATGCACCCCCACACACACACACACATGTGCACGTGCACACACAGAGTGTCAGCAACAATGAGCGCACTGGACCACAGGGACGGTAATGCAGGAGGACAACGAGGAAGCACATGCAGAGCAGGGAGCAGGGGGGGCGGCGAGCAGACCTGGCGGAAGATGGTGGCGATGGGCTCAAGGCCCTTGGGGATGCGGCAGAAGAGGCGGTACATGCGCGACAGATCGTCCACCTGCCACCACGCACGCACACACATGCATGCCCACCCCGCAATGCCATGCCACGCACAACACAACACAACACTCTCTTAGAGACGCGCTCATGCATGAGAGAACGAGGGAACAACGAGCATAGGGCCGGGGCATGGGCAAAGCCGAGCCCCCCCAAGAAGTTGAGGGAGGAAGCACGGGGTAAGAGGTGAGCAGGGATGTGCGGGGAGGGAAGGCGAGGGAAGGAGGGAACGAGGCGGAGACAGAGCGAGGGGGCGTGGGGACTTGCCTTGTCGTCCTGCAGCAGAGCTCGGCAGCCTGAGTTATCCTTCTCCAGCAGCTGCTGCTCGTACTGCGTCAACAGCTCGTGCTGCACCTTCTGCTCTCGCCTCAACCCGCCACACCATGCATACCCAGACCCACCACACACGCAATTAGGGAAAGGGGGAGAGGGGACGGAACGAGGGATAGCGATGAGGCAAACGGTAGTAGCAGAGAGCTAAGTGAAAGACAGAGTGGAAACAGAGTGGAACAAGAGTGGGCGGGTGGGAGGAGTGAAGGCAGGAGAAAAGTTAGAGAGAGCGTACCTCGAGCAGCTTGCCTTCACTGGACGCGTGCAGGTAGTGCGACACACGCTCCTTCTCCCTCTTCAGACACTCCTCCGCCTGCACTCCACCACCACCACCACACGCCACGCACGTACGCGCACACACT